TTGTGGGCGAAATAGGGCAGCGAATTGCACACAGCAGTGTCCCACAAACAGTCGTGGATTGAAAATGACTAATTTATTATTGTTTTGTTTTTTGGAGGGATTATTATTAGGCGTGTGGAGTAAGAAAACTTGCCCAAGGTTTCGCCCTGCCTAGAATTGAACCCAGGTGTCTCGCTTGCAAGGCGAGTGCTTTTACCACTGAGCTACAGGACTCCACTTCAGATGACACCAAGATTCCTTCTCTCTATTCAGGTGGACATTAAAGAACCTGTGACTTGATATGCTATTATAAAAGAGAAGGGAATATCTCCCTCAGTGTGTTGGCCAACAATCCCCCAGATAAAATTGGTCATTCACTTTATGGTGGGTTGCAAGGCATTGCTGCGTACAAACTAGCTGCCACATTTGATTGCAAGTATTGTCTTTACACTTTACAGAAACTTTGTTAAGAGATTTGAGACATTCTTGATGTGATAAGGCACTCTATAAAATGCAAGGATTATTGTTATTCTAACACCAATGACATAATTGAGGAGCTGATAGGTGGGGAAACATCACTCTGCTTGACAGCATGAGGAACTGAATTAACCCCATTCTGTCATTACAAAGCAATAAGATTTACTGTAATAGTGACAGGATACCCATTGCTTATGGAGAAATATTAAGCTCCCCTACCTATTGACTGACAGTTCTCAATGAAGAATAGTAGAGTTTTTATGCTGCTCATCTAGATGTATATTCCCTCTGCATCCAAATTTACCACAATTAATTGGCTAATTATGTCATAGTTGTTTCTATGACGAAATACACCAAAGATACTTAAATCAAATTTGTCAGTAGCTGCAGAAACATAGTTTTACTTTACATGTCTGTGGAAACCAAAGGGTTAACTCTCTCTACAACAGCGTTGTGCTCCTTTTGTTTCTTATCAGGGTTAGTTAACACAAACCAAACAAGGTGCTCCTAGTCAGTGATTTTAAAAGCTGTGTCTGCAGTCATTGATTTTAATTTCAGAGTGGAAAGGAATAAACAGGAAATAACTTTATTGTACTAGCCAAGGGCGATTGAAGATAAAGACCAAATTTATATCAATTAAGAACATACAAACCAAATCCTGTTCATAGTTTGCCATGAGTAAGCTCCAGAACCATAAATCTGAGAGGTTAAGGTCCGGGATACAGGAAGAAAAAAAGCAGGATTCATGACAGTCTTTTAACCCATGCTGCTCTCTCTCGCTTTCTTTCAACTTGTCACATTCTCTGCTGTGTAGCCTTTCTTTCCCTTTTCTTTACCATGTTATTATCCAGTTGTTTCTTTAAAGCTTCCTTTCCTTTGTAGAATACGACATCATCCAATTTACTATCCTTTATTTATTAATTAATCGAGTCTCCCATTGTCTTTTCTATGTCTGTCCATATAACCCCAAATAGTTAATCAACTCATCTAGTTTTTTGGGTACGACCTTTGTACGGAATCCTTCTACAACAAAAACAGAAGTCGTTGGGAACACTTATTCCCACCTCTAATCATTAGCACCTCTATTCCCCTGCTTTGTTGTAATCCCCCCCTTTGTTTTGCATCATTAACACCTCTTTAACCCATCATCCCTTCTCCTCTACCCCATTTTCTCCTTTATCTTCCTTGCCTTGCCTCCCCCCTCTCTGTTAGCCCTTAAAAGCCTCTCCCTCCCAACATGCCCCAGTTCTGACGAAGGGTCATGGACCCGAAACTTTGACTCACTTTCCTTTCTCCATAGCCTGTCCTGCTGAGTGTTCCCAGTGACTTCTGTTTTTGTTTCAGATTTCCAGCATCTGCAGTATTTTGCGTTTTGTTACTGAATCCTTCTATTTGACTTGAATCCATCCCTTCTAGCTCGATTGAGATTCTTGACTATGAAAGGGTATACTTCCGTCTCCTCAGGTTATATCCTCACATCTCCTCAGGTTATTTCAACAATCCGAGTCACATCACCAATATGTCAATCTCGTCCCCATCCTTCCGAAAGGCTTTCGCGTTCGATGCTGAATAATAGATGCATTTGAAACAGAGTATTAGAATCAAGGTTTTATTCGAAATGGTATAGGTGATCAAGCTATATAAATTGTAAGGGACGCGCCAGGATAATCTGACTGTTCTGCTCCCTTCTGACTTCCACCTTGACTGTTCTGTTCCTACCTTTTCAGACTATCCTGCTCCCCTCAGCTTTCACATTCTCTTACATCTCCCTTCATCACCCACCTACATTCTCGGACTGTTGAGCTCCCTCTCAGCTACTTTCAGCTCGTACATCTCTCAACAATTACTGGCAAAACCTCTTCCTTATATCCTAAACTATCCTAAACTTGTTTTCTACAGACCCCTAAGGACCTCATGATCTGATTCCTATGAGGCACCAAGTGATCAATGTCGTCTTTTTGCAAAGGACCTCTTTATCTTTTTCCTTGAGCTTCCATAATTAAGTCTCTCTACAATCCCTTTCACAGTCCTCTGGGTGCCTGGAATAAATGTTATGGTCAACAAGCACGGCCTTTCTTCTGTGTCTACAGTGGTTAAGTGTTGCAGTGCCGATACATTTGACAAGGAATATGGCTCCAGCCTGCTCCACGTCCCCTGCCCAGTTCAGCGCACCATCGGTGGTCGGACCTCAGCTTCTCTGCCCCCACCTTTTGGAACTCCATCGTACATTCCCTTCTCCTCGTTTGGCTCCAAATCCCTGATTGTCCAGCCCTTTGGGATGTCCTCCCGATGTGAAAGGCGCTATACAAGTGCAATTTTGTATTGTATGGGATAGACAGAGGGAGAGGGGATTTAGATGAGTGGAGGTTCATGTACATTATAAACACCGGCATAGGTTGCGCTAAATGGCCTGTTTTGATACTATACAGTCTATGTATATAAAATATGATCGCAACAACAACAGCAACTTGGATTTATATAGCGTCCTCCACGCCGGACAGCATCTCAGAGTGCTTCACAGTAACAGATCCCAGGGCCGGGGGAAGGGGAGGAAGGTGACCAAAGGCGCGGTCGAAAAGAAAGGTCTTCAGCCGAGACCTGAAAACAGGAAGAGAGGGAGTGAGGAAGGGAGTTCCAGAGAAACATTAGCATAATATTTGCAATGTGTAAAATGCTGTGTGGATCAAATATTAGGAATGATAAAATTGGTTAGGATGAGAAAGGTCCTTTGACTCCTTTGATCTCATCCTTCCAGAATACCCATCCTACTATCTCAGCATCAAGTTGTATTTTTTAAACATGTCCAGTGATCTGCCTTCTTGGTAATCTGTTAGTCATTAACTACCCTCTGGATAAAGAAAACCATCCTGGTGAAATTGACATTTGCAGCCCAACACATATGTCTTCTTGGTTTGATGTCTCAGACCATTTGAAAGGATATAACTATATTTGCTTTCTCAATCTCATTTTGAAAGCCCATAGAGTGTACCTCTCTGAAATTTCTCCTTTCAAAGATCCCTAGCTTGTGTAATTGTTGCTCAAAGTTCCTCCTCTAATACTGGAATGCTCCTTGTTCTTCTCTCCCTTTAGATCTGGGCAATTCTGGAGTGTTTCTGCAATCAAAACTGGCAACAATACTTTGAATGTGGCCTAATCAGAACACTATACATGATTATGATTTCTTGCCGTTGTATTACTGATTTAGCAATAGAAACTTGTAAACATAAAAATCTACAGCAGAGGAGGCCATTTGATCTATCAACTCAGCACTCCAGAGCAAAGATATTGCTACAATCCCATCATCCCAAGCAGAACTTGGAAGAACAGACCAGGCATGGGCCAGGGATTCTTCCCACTCAGCTCCTGTTACCGCTACAAGCCAAAATCCTAACGAATGGGTGGTTCTAGCTGAACAAGTAGCGGCAAAGCTTGCCACACAGTGCTTTTAATGGCGAGCTGTGCAATTTTAGCTGGTTAGACTCCAGCAGTATCCCAACGCACACTCTGGCAAACCCAAGCCTTGGCTCTTGCCAACCCGTGCCTAATCTCTGGAAATAGGTAAACAGGATATGTTCCTCCAGGGAGAGAGTACACATTCCATTCAAATACATATGTCTGAAATTTCCAGGTGTAGGTGGGACGTATGGAATTCTCAATTTGGTGTGGATACCCGTCAGACGAAGGTTCGTGGACCCGAAATGTTGACTCACTTTCCTTTCCCCATACACAAGGCCAATTCAGCTTGTCCCACTCGGAAATTCCCACGTTTTGCACAGTTCCCGCGTGAGCGCCTAAATAATATTTTTGTGGGTGTGGGGGTGGGGGGTGGGAGGATGAAGAGCGAATATATATTTCACCCACAAAATACACAGTCAATTGACTTTACAGCATATCCTGTGATGCGCTTCGAGACGGTCTCGAGTAGGTGGTGTCAAACGCAAGGATTATTATTATTATTATTATTATTATTTATTATTATTATTATTAAAATGCTCCTGGAACAATGAGGTGCACACCTGGAAAATATGCACATTTTGGTGCCACGAGCAAACGGTGTGGTGCTCGATTGGAGGGAAAAACTGTCAGCAAATACCCCCCACCCCCACCCACCCCACCTCCACCCCCACCCCCACCCCTGGGGGCATTCATCTGGAGCCGAGTGAGGGGGCAGTAGCGACTCCTCCTCTTGGAGGAGAGCTGCCAGGGATTGCCGGCGAGTAATTGGTCTGCGCTCAGCAGTGACCCATCGCGTCTGCCTTTTGCTGCTGCTGCTGCTGCTGCTGTAGCGGGTTACAGCAAACCAGCGAGCGGCCACCGCAATCGCTGGCCGCACACGTCAGGTCCGCCCGGAGGCGAGAGGAACGACCGCCGCTTCTTTGCGCATCAGAGAGGGCACCTTCTGATCGGTTGCAATAAGTTGCACCACTCCTCCTCCTCCTCCTCCTCCATCCATCCCCTCCCTCCCTCCCTCACCTCTCTCACCCCCTCCCTCACCCCCTCCTCTCTCACCCCCTCCATCACCTCCAGCCGCGGAGACACAGGCGGTGGCGGGAAGTCTCGGTGTGAGCGGGTGCTGAGGGTGAGCTGCGGGGGGGGGGGGGGGTTCCTGCCGCTGTTATCGGGTTTCGGTGCCGTTTGCTCCACAGCCCAAACAAAATGCTCCTCTTTGCCATTGGCACCAGAGCTGCGGCTGCAGCCGAGCGCTCCTTCAGCGGTAAGTCCACAAGAACCAACTCTCCTCTCCCCCTCTCCTCCTCCCCTCCTCCTCCCCTCTCCTCCTCCTCCTCCTCCGCACACCTCCGCTGCTGAACTTTCCGCTGCTCATGACACCTTCGGATCCCCCCTTATGCATTTGCACGGACCAACAGCCGCCTTTCCCGCAAACCACTCGCATCTTTGCTTCCTGCCGCTGCCTTCCTTTGAAGTTGTTTTTCTTTTAAAAATGATGGGTGTAAAGAAAACGCAGAGGAATACTCGAGTGTCGGCTGCTGGTGAAACTGGACGCAGTTTCTGTTGACTTCCCGGTAGTTTCAGGCGGGTTCTGCTTCAGCCCACGAACCCTTTTACCCTGAAATCCTCTGTGGGGGGGAGGGAGGGAGTTGTTCAGATAGTGTGACACAAAAATGTATTTTTTTTTTTTGCATGTGTCTGTGTGTGGGTTCTTATTTTGACCAATTCTCTCTCTCTCTCTCTCTCTCTCTCTGTGTGTGTTGTGTGTTTTTTTTTTGCAATGCTGCGTTGCAATCCTTTTAAGTTGGGGAAACGAAGTGAAGTCTTACTTGGCTTCTGTAAACAAAATCCTTTCCAAACTTCTGGGAGCAAACACATGGGGGAAGAATCGATCTGCCTGGTCACAGTTGACATATTGTTTATTCCCCAATGCCTTGGCTGACATCGGATCAATCTGAAAAATGTGCCTCTCTACTAGGGGAGAGTTAGATTCCCAAGCTGGTAGTATGGGGGGGGCGGTGTGGGGAAGGGGAGAGAGGGGTAGTCATCATTTACGCCCCTGGATTGCATCCACTCTCCTGTAGCATTGCTCCCCCTTCACCTCCCTCTTCCACAGCGGGATACGGTCGGAATGAAAGCAGAGGGTAAAACACACACATCTCCAGCATAAGTGAGCCCCGGGGGTCGGTCGTGCAATCTGCATCTCAGTCTAGGGTTCAAAGTTGGTCTTAAGTCTCGGGAATTGGATCTGAGACTCAGTTCGTCTGGGATAGTGTGTTTCACTCTGACCTACGTGACCGTATGAAATCTACGCAAATAATGTACTTGTTTGTGGATGTGTAACAACAACGACTTGCACTTATGTAGCTGTCTCCATGCAGCGGAGCGTCTCAGACCATTTGTAGGAATTTTCCATGAAATTTTCCTTTTTTAGAGAAATTTGCCTTGCAGGCAAATTCCATAAATACACTACCCTCTGAGTGAAGAAATGTTTACTCAACTCAGTTCTAAAGGGCTGACCTTTAATCGTGAGACTATGACCCCCTAGTTTTAGATTCTTCAACCAGGGGAAACAGTCTCACAGTCAAGACCCTTAAGAATCTTATCAGTTTCTATAAGATCACCTCTAATTCTTTTATATTCTAGAAAATATAGGCCTAGTCTACTCAACCTCTCCTCATAGATCAACCCCCTTATCCCAGGAACTAACCTAATGAACCTACATTGCAGCCCCTCCAAGGCAAGTATATCCTTTCTTAAATAAGGAGACCAAAACTGCACACAATATTCCAGGTGTCGTCTCACCAAGGCCCTATACAATTGCAGCAAGACTTTCCTACTCTTGTACTGAACCCCTTTGCAATAAACGCTAACATGCTATTAACCTTTCTAATTGCTTGCTGTACCTGCATACTAACTTTCTGTGATTGGTGTACAAGGACATCTAAATCCCTCTGAATTCTAACACGATCTATAATAATCCTGGCATTTGATATAGCGCTTTTCACGTCTTCGAGACGTTTCAAAACGCTTCACAGAATATACTGTAAAGTGAATTGACTGTATATTTGTGGGCGAACGCGGCAGCCAATTGCGCACAGCAATGTCCCACAAACAGTCGTGGATTGAAAATTACCAATTTATTATTGTTTTGTTTTGGAGGGATTATTATTAGGCGTGTGGAGTAAGGAAACTTGCCCACGGTTTCACTCTGCCGGGAATTGAACTCAGGTCTCTCGCTTGCAAAACGAGTGCTCTAACCACTGAGCTACAGGACTCCACTCTAGTCTCTCTCCCTCTTGAAAATAATCTGCTTTTCTGTTTTTTCTACCTGGTGAATAATTTCACACTTCCCTACATTATATTCCATCTGCCACCTTCTTGTCCATTCACTTAATCTGTCTATATCCCTTTGCATCCTCCTTGTATCCTCCTCACAGCTTATTTTCCGAACTAGCTTTGTATCGTCAGTGAATTTAGATACATTAAGCTTTATTTCCTCATCTAAGTCATTGATGTAGACTGTAAAAAGTTAAGGCCCAAGCACTGATCCTTGCAGCACTCCACTAGTCACATCCTGCCTATCTGAGAAGGACCCGTTTATTCCTACTCTCTGTTTTCTGGCTGTTAACCATTCTTCGATCCATGCTAATATATTACCCTTAATTCCATGAGTCCTAATCTCATTTAACAACCTTTTATGTGGCACCTTGTCGAATGCCTTCTGAAAATCCAAGTACACTATATTCACCGGTTTCCCCCCTGTCTAACCTGCTAGTTACATCTTCAAAAAACTTAAAAAGATTTGTTAAACACGATTTCCTTTTCATAAATCCAGGTTGACTCTGCCTAATCATATTATGACTTTCTAAGCGCTCCACAATGATGTCCCTAATTATAGACTGCAGAATTTTCCCTACCGCTGATGTCAGGCTAATTGATCTATAGTTCCCCATTTCCTCTTGCTTGCGAGGCAAGTATTTTAACTACTAAGCTGCAAGACTCCACAAATGCTTGACTATTTGCAAACCAGTGTACATGGGTGTGAAATTGTTTGCTTGTGTTTGTACGCTGTGTGCTCATGCATGCCTGCATAGATTTGGTTGCCTCCAAGTAATGAGAACCTCTATAGGAAGAATTAGCAAAATTTAATTACAATTGCTCTGAATTCATGATGTTCAATAAAGCGATTACTATGAGTGCCAAGGATTACAATGCTCTCCACTCCTTGGCTCAAAGCACTGAATCTCCCTGGGGTAAGGTTTCATGGGCACTGTTTGACCTCTGGAACATCACTCAAGTGCCCCTTCTTCGTCTCTGGTGTTGCTCATTGCGTGCCAGCTGGCTAGCAGGAAAATTACATTTGTATAACGCCTTTCACATCAGGAGAATATTCCAAGGCACTGGACAGTCAGTGTTTTGGACCCAAATGGGGGTCAGTATCGTGGAGGGCAGGTGGGGAAGGAGTGTGAACGAAGGCACGGTCGATCAGGAGGATCTTGAGAAGGTTCTTGAAGGAGGCAAAGGAGGGGGAGAGGTGGAGGAATTCTGGGATTGAGTTCCAGAGGATGGGAGCAGAGTGGCGGAAGGCCCGCCAACCAATTGTGGGGCAGGTCAGGCATGGGACATGAAGCAGGCTGGAGCCTGCTGAGCGGAGGGAAAGGACAGGTTGGTAGGAGGTCACAGAGGCAGGGGGAAGCAAGGCCATGGAGGACTTTGAAGGTGAGGATCAGGATCCTGAAATGTGATAGGAAGCCAGTGGATTCGGGCGAGGATGGGGGTGATGGGGTTGCGGAGCCTGGTGGGGAGAGGACATGGGCTGCAGAGTTCTGGATGATCTGCAGCCTATGGAGGGAGGAGTTGATTATGGGGAGGAGAAGGAGGAAGGGTGCCTGTACCCGTTTCCAACTAATATCTACAGAAGTCACTTTCTAGCATGGTAGCTTGGTCATCAGAAACAGTAGCTGTTTTTTTTCCCCTTTCTCCAGTCCAACAGTTCTCAGCCAGATCTAGCAGCCTATCTGATAAATTAAGTCAGTCTTCCAGTGTAGCTTCATGTTACTGTACTAAGTGCCTTTGCCCACTTACTAGGCCATTGGATGATCTCAGACATTTTTTATCCAGCATTTTCAGTTGTGCATTTAAGTGATGAAAAGTACTGGCTATAAATAGACATAAAATCTCTTCTCATTTCAGAAGAGATTGCCATCCACTATTAACAGATAGAATGTAATACTAGGTATTTTGTATGTACGTAGCTGCTTACTTAGCTTGAAAAGAAACAGCCCTGAGTCTTCTAAACAAAATCAATCACTCAAAAGATGGAAGTTGACAGAAAATATGAAATGAGTATTGTGCAGCACGAAAGATAGCATTTAAAAATATATACTGCTTCCTTTAAATGTTATACAAAGGAAATGAACTATCAATCTTTTGTATTCACTAAAACTCAATCAACCAAAGACATGCAGCAGTATATTTGGAGAAATCCAATGGTTGATGTCAGCTGTAATGGACAAGAAGGTGTCTTTATTATAATATAGTTGCAGCATATCAGCAACCGTTTTGCCAGCACGGTGTTAAAATACGTACTCGGCTTAAATTTAGAGCAAAACCCTTGCTCTTTGAGGTAGAATTGATAACCAGATCTACTATAAACAGATTTCCTCCAAGTACACCCAGTGAAATGAGATTGGTACATTGAAGTTATAGTTATAGTTGCAAGATATTGAGATCACTTAAACTAAGACCACAGTAGCCTGAATATGTATTTCTAATTACACTTTAATATTTTAGGTTTGCAATCGCACAGGCAACTTACACTTTTGAAAACATTTAATGCATTGTTTATCTGCAAAACATGTTTTGCAATCACAGAGGTTTTGCTAACATAGCTAAATATTCTGTGACTGGAAAAAAACAATTTTACATATTAAAGCTATGAGGAAGTTACACAAATTTTTGCAGACATTAGCACAACATTGAGGAAGTTTCCGAAACTCTACATTCATCTGTTTAACTAGCAGTAAGTAGCAACTCGGTAGTTAGTCGATTGGCGGATTTCTTTTTTTAAAAAGAATAATAGTTTGGTCACTCACTCCACAACTTTTGTGGGACACTGTTGTGTGCAATCTGCACAAACGGCTTCTCCTCCCACTCACACCCGGTCACCTGCGGGGTACCCCAAGGATCCATCCTTGGCCCCTCCTCTTTCTGATCTACGTGCTCCCTCTTGGGGATGTCATCCGAAGACATGGGGTACAT